TTCAGAATCCAAAAGCGAGCTCAAAGACTGTATTCTGTTCTCCAGACAACTATCTAATAATTTGTGAACATTTTACATAGTATTTACGTGAATGATAGCTTTGGCCACATAAAAATTAAATGAGAATATCCTCATAGTTTTGTTTTAGCTCCTCAAACTTTCCCTGGATGATCTTTGGCATCTCTTTGATGTGTACCAAAAGTATATTTCTGGGCTTTCAGGGAAAACACTTTTCTCATCCTGAAGTTCAAACAGAGCATTATTTGTGATTACCAGCTATTCCATTACACTTCTGGGGGAGGAATGTCCTGGAATATACTGTACTAAAAATCAGCAAATGTGTTCATTTATGATCACTTGGCTTTGATGTATTATTTCATATTGCCACTCCTCAGAGTGGCTTCGCCCCTCAGAAAGGCTCCATGTCGGCCCCTCTCCCATATCCCATTGTAAACATGAGTGACTTTGCGTAAAAACATAGGAAAATTATGTTCTATATTAGGGAAAGTACAATATGCTTGTGTTAAAAGATTTTTGTCCTCTAGATATATTCACTTAAAATTTTCTCTAGATTAGTCAGCCTGGTTTCATGAGCATGTGTGTGCTAGTGCCATGGATGAAGAAAAAGTGCTTTCCTTGCTCATGAAAAAGCTTCTGTTTTTCCTAAAAAGACATCATAACCTTTACAAAATAATTCTAAGCTAATATAAGAGTGTATATGATAGATGGCAAAAGAGTATGCATTAGCACACAAGAACAAAAGCAGTTTAGAGAAAGAGATATCTTTGGAGGCTGCAGTATATAAATATATTCCCATCAATATTACAGAGGATAAAGTAGCAGACTCCCAGCAATAGCCATGGAAATGTATATTCCAAGAGAAAGTCTGGTATTATTTGCCTGGGATAGCGTGCTCCTTAAATTTAAAGATAGATTTCACATATAAGTGATGTAATATGATATTTGTCTTTCTGTGCCTGGCAGTTTTTACTTTGCAAAATGTCCTCCAGCCTTATCTATGTTGTTCCAAGTGACAGAATTTTATTCCTTTTTTATGGCTGAATAGTTCTCCACTGTGTATAAGTACCATATTTTCTTTATCCATTCATGTGTTGATGGGCATTTAGGTTGATTTCATATCTTAGCTGTTGAGAATAGTGCTACAATAAACATGGGAGTGCAGATGTCCCTTTGACATACTCATTTCATTTCCTTTGGATATATACCCAGTAATGGAATTGCTGGATCAGTTTTTAATTTTTAAAGGAATCTTCATACTGTTTTCTGTAAAGGATATGCTAATTTACATTTCTACTAACAGTGTATAAGAGCTTGCTTTTCTCCACATCTTCACCAGCATTTGCCAGTTTTTGTCTTTTTGTTACTCACCATTCTAACTTGGGTGAGGTGGTGTTACATTGTGGTTTTGAATTGCATTTTCCTGATAGTAAGTGATGTTGGAGTTGAGAGTAGAAGAGTGGTTACCATACACTGGGGCTCATGGAAGGGTCAGAGGTGGGGAGATGTTAGCCTACAGGTACAATATTACAGTTAGATGGGAGGAATAAGCTCTGTTACTCTATTGCCCAGTAGGATGATCACAGCTAACAATATTGTATATCACAAATAGCTGCAAGAGAGGGTTTTGAATGTTCTCACAACACATACATTATTAGTGTTTAAAGTGATGTATATGCTAACTATCATGATTTAATAACTACACAATATATACATGCATCAAAACCTCACATTGTTTGCCATTAATACATGCAATCACTATTTGCTAAATCTTAAATTTGAAATTAATTAACCAATTAACTCTGAGGATAAATATATATCCCCATATATATATTCCACTATGTTAAGAATGACTCAATAATTACTAAAAGAAAATGTCATTTCCCAGGGATGCCCTCTCTCACCACTCCTATTCAACATAGTGTTGGAAGTTCTGGCTAGGGCAATCAGGCAAGAGAAAGAAATCAAGGGGATTCAGTTAGGAAAAGAAGAAGTCAAATTGTCCCTGTTTGCAGACGACATGATTGTATATTTAGAAAACCCCATTGTCTCAGCCCAAAATCTCCTTAAGCTGATAAGCAACTTCAGCAAAGTCTCAGGATACAAAATTAATGTGCAAAAATCACAATCATTCTTATACACCAGTGACAGTCAAACAGAGAGCCAAATCAGGAATGAACTTCCATTCACAATTGCTTCAAAGAGAATAAAATACCTAGGAATCCAACTTACAAGGGATGTAAAGGACCTCTTCAAGGAGAACTACAAACCACTGCTCAGTGAAATCAAAGAGGACACAAACAAATGGAAGAACATACCATGCTCATGGATAGGAAGAATCAATATCGTGAAAATGGCCATACTGCCCAAGGTAATTTATAGATTCAATGCCATCCCCATCAAGCTACCAATGAGCTTCTTCACAGAATTGGAAAAAACTGCTTTAAAGTTCATATGGAACCAAAAAAGAGCCCGCATCTCCAAGACAATCCTAAGTCAAAAGAACAAAGCTGGAGGCATCACGCTACCTGACTTCAAACTATACTACAAGGCTACAGTAACCAAAACAGCATGGTACTGGTACCAAAACAGAGATATAGACCAATGGAACAGAACAGAGTCCTCAGAAATAATACCACACATCTACAGCCATCTGATCTTTGACAAACCTGAGAGAAACAAGAAATGGGGAAAGGATTCCCTATTTAATAAATGGTGCTGGGAAAATTGGCTAGCCATAAGTAGAAAGCTGAAACTGGATCCTTTCCTTACTCCTTATACGAAAATTAATTCAAGATGGATTAGAGACTTAAATGTTAGACCTAATACCATAAAAATCCTAGAGGAAAACCTAGGTAGTACCATTCAGGACATAGGCATGGGCAAAGACTTCATGTCTAAAACACCAAAAGCAACGGCAGCAAAAGCCAAAATTGACAAATGGGATCTCATTAAACTAAAGAGCTTCTGCACAGCAAAAGAAACTACCATCAGAGTGAACAGGCAACCTACAGAATGGGAGAAAATTTTTGCAATCTACTCATCTGACAAAGGGCTAATATCCAGAACCTACAAAGAACTCAAACAAATTTACAAGAAAAAAACAAACAACCCCATCCAAAAGTGGGCAAAGGATATGAACAGACATTTCTCAAAAGAAGACATTCATACAGCCAACAGACACATGAAAAAATGCTTATCATCACTGGCCATCAGAGAAATGCAAATCAAAACCACAATGAGATACCATCTCACACCAGTTAGAATGGCGATCATTCAAAAGTCAGGAAACAACAGGTGCTGGAGAGGATGTGGAGAAATAGGAACACTTTTACACTGTTGGTGGGATTGTAAACTAGTTCAACCATTATGGAAAACAGTATGGCGATTCCTCAAGGATCTAGAACTAGATGTACCATATGACCCAGCCATCCCATTACTGGGTATATACCCAAAGGATTATAAATTATGCTGCTATAAAGACACATGCACACGTATGTTTATTGCAGCACTATTCACAATAGCAAAGACTTGGAATCAACCCAAATGTCCATCAGTGACAGATTGGATTAAGAAAATGTGGCACATATACACCATGGAATACTATGCAGCCATAAAAAAGGATGAGTTTGTGTCCTTTGTAGGGACATGGATGCAGCTGGAAACCATCATTCTTAGCAAACTATCACAAGAACAGAAAACCAAACACCGCATGTTCTCACTCGTAGGTGGGAACTGAACAATGAGATCACTTGGACTCGGGAAGGGGAACATCACACACCGGGGCCTATCATGGGGAGGGGGGAGGGGGGAGGGATTGCATTGGGAGTTATACCTGATGTAAATGACGAGTTGATGGGTGCAGCACACCAACATGGCACAAGTATACATATGTAGCAAACCTGCACGTTGTTCACATGTACCCTACAACTTGAAGTTTAATAATAATAAAAAAAAAAAAAAAAAAAAGAAAATGTCATTTCCAAAGTAGTCATTATTCCTATGGACTTTTTGGCGCAGAATAAGAGTTAAAGATTATATTCTGTCTCAAAGGAATTACCTTTTGTGTCTGTGACAAATGGGAATGTTAAGTGTATTTGCTAGGGACAATATTTATATTAATCCAGATTAATATATGTATTCTGGATAAGTGACAAGACTCATGGACTTATTTGGTGATTACTTAGGTAATAGCACAAGTTCAGAAATCTTTACAGTCCGTTTTCACAATTCCCCAAAGTATATAAAGCCAACATATTGGATTAGGCATCAAAAATCTTGGGTCTTAAACTAGGCTCTGTTTTTAATTAACTATGTTAATTTGGGTAGTTTGCTGCACCTTGTTACCTTTATTTCCTTCTAGGTATAAACTGTGTGTGCGTGTGCGTGTGTGTGTGTGTTTTCATGCATGTCTGCGCATGTGTGTATGCATGCATATGTTTGTTGGTGACTAGGAATGCTGAAATACTGGAGTTTACAGTAGGCTGGGGCAGTGGGAGAGGAAATGGAGAAATAGGAGTGTGATCCTTCTTTCTGAAGTGATGGAAATGTTCTAAAATTGATTACAGTGATGGTTGCACACCATTGATTATATTTAAAAAAATATGAATTGTACATTTTAAAGGGTTGAATTGTATGGAATTTGAATTATATCTCAATAAAGCTATTACCTTTTTATTTTTAGATTATAAGTATTACAAAACCTCTCATTATTTAAAAAATATAGTACATGTACCATAATCCTTACTCCCCACTCCTTTGTGTGAATTTTGTGACATCATTTTCATTATCCGAGAGTTTGCTTTACTTGAAATCATTCTCCTTTTCCCTTGCACCCATGCCAAGTATTCAATTTCAGGCTCATCAGAGTGTGTTTTCACCACTTCTTAAATGTTATTCACCATATTTTGCTGTAAATTGGCCACAAAATTACAACCTATAAACTAAGTATAATTTTTCCTCTTTTTTTTTTTAATCTGAAGACAAAGACAGGAATTTGTTTGCTGGAGGATGGTAACCAGGAGCCTTTCAAAGTCCGGCTGCACCTAGCCAAAGATATTTTGATGATCCAGGAACAGGATGTGATATGTGTGTCTGGTGAGCCTTTCTATTCTGGTGTAAGTAACTTTTTCTTCTGTTGAATTTTTTTGTGTTTGTTTTTTGTTCATAAAAATGTTTATTCAAAGACCATTTTAAATATGTTTTTCTTTCAGTCTAGTCAATGGTTCTGCGTGTAATTTTTGCTTACATCATTAAGTAAGCAGTGGCCCTGTATGAGAACCTTGCCTAGGGTCCATGAACACGCCTTTTGGGCCCATCTCCAGCCTGTTGTCTATGACTCCTAGCTGTCATCATACGATGAGAGTGACACTGGATTTTCTGATCATTCTACCTTTTCACATACAGAATTAATTGAGAACTGCACATGGTGGTGTCCTCTGCTCTGGTCTTACGTTTCATGAACTTGGACTATTGAGAGTGGTGCCAGGGTGGGGCCCATCCTTCAGCATCCCTGAAGCAGGAGACATTAGGCAGCGGTCACTGAACTCAGCGTGAGTGATGTTCCCCCGGGATAGTGTCTGAATGATTCTATGGACCTCCCTAATAGAATTATGCGCAAGTGTTGTAGCAAATTCTGTTCTTCAATGCTCCAACTCATTGACACATTACACTGCTCCTAATCTAGCTTCAGAAAGAGCCATAAATTACAGTGCAAAACTGATTGCTGTACTTACTCATGTCGAGGCAGCATAGCTGTGGAAGACATCCTTAGATGAGATTAGATTTTATTCCACTAAAAGACATTGTCATAAAACAAGTTCTGGAGTTTATCATTCATTGTATAATAATACCATTAAAGACATCTTTTTTAACAATGTTGCCATATGTGATCTCAGAAGAAAATTATAGACAGTAGCATGTAGTCTCCTCCCTGCTTTTCCCAAACATCTGCAGCTATTTAGCATGAAGATTTAATGTGTACCTTATTAATAGACTTACCTTGGAGTTTTTAGTAGGTGGCAAATAATGCTGAACTTGAGTTCTCACATCACTTCTTACTAATACCCTATGGGAGTAACTCAAGGCCCTAAATCAATAGGCCTTTGCCAACTAAAGATAATAGACATTTTACAGACTGTTAACTATTCTTTTGTCACAGACCATTTAAATCATTCTGAGTCATGGGCCTGGATGTCAAGGCTGATTAAACTGTTCCCATGAGGTTGTCCTTTCTTCCCTTTGGTTAATAACAGAGAAGTGGCATGAGTCATACAACTCTCTAGAATAAATATATCACACTGCTCCCCAGATCAAAAAATAAAATCAGTAAAATCTACTACTTCAATACTGAAATAATATTATTGATTTTAAGTTTCACAGTCAATAATAACTGATACACATAGACCTACTTCCTCCTTAAAAGATAATTGTACATATAAATAAAGCTCAGAATGCTAGGAATAATGAAGGAGGAATTAAGGAGAAACATCTTATGACATTGTCAACAAATTCAAAAAAGCATTTGAAAATTCAACACCCATTTTTACAAAACACTTTAAGCAAGATATGAGTAGACAAGATTTTTCTTAATCTGACAACTGTCATCTAATTAAAGCCTCTCTCTGATATGTTAGTTAACATTGAACATTCTCTCTGAGATTGAAAGCAAGTCAAGGATAATACCTTGCTCACTAATCAGTGTTGTTCTCCATGCTCCTACAGCAAGTCACAAATTATATATAAAGAACAAAAATTATAGAGGAAGAGGCAAAATGGCTTTTCTTGTAGATTTCATGATGGTATGCATAGAAAACCTTAAGAATTCTACAAAAGATAGAATAACACAAAAATTTAGCAAGGATGCTGGGAATAAGGACAATAGTCCAAGTTAATTGTGTTTCTAAAACTACCTACAAGCAACTAGAAATGAAATAAAAATGCAATCCACAATACGTCAGAAAGACAATATACGTAGGGACAAATTTAACAAAAGATGTATATGATCTCTGTCCTGAAAACTATAAAAACTATGTTGAAGGAAATTTTAAAAAATAAACAAATAATGGAGAACTATGACATGATCGTAACTCGAAAGCTAAGTGTTGATAAGCTGTCACATCTTTCCAGATACCCTAAACCAGTCAAAATCCCAAAATATTTTTGCAGATATGTACAAGTTGATTCCAAAATTCACATGGAAATATAAAGGACTTACAATAACCAGAACAATCTTGAATAAAAAGAGCAAAGTTGGAGGGTTTATTCTAACTGATTTCAGAGCTTGCTATAAGATTCTAATAATAAATACAATGTAATGTTGTAATAAATTCAAGTATATCAGTCAATGGAACATTATAAAGAGCCCAAAATAGACCCACTCTTATATGGTCAGTTAAGTTTTGTTTTTCTTTTCTTTTTTTAACTGTGGTAAAATATACATAATATAAAATGCACCATCTTAACTGTTTTTAAGTATAAAGTTCAGTAGCATTTCGTGCATTCACTTTGTTGTGTAACTACCACCACTATTCATTGCCGGAATTTTCATCATGCCATACTGAAACTCTGTATGCACTGAACTGTACTCCTCCTCTTAACCCCTTGTTAACCACTGTCCTACTTTTTGCCTCTACATTTGACTATTCTGGGTAAATCTTGTAAGTGGAATCATACAATATCTGACCCTTTGTGGATGGCTTATTTCAATTATCATAATGTCTTCAAGGTTCATCCATGTTGAAGGATATATCAGAATTTCATTCTTTTCAAAGGCTGAATAACATTCCATTGTGTATTTATACCACCTTTTGTTTATCTACTCACTCGGCAGTGAACATTGAGTGTGTTTCCACCTTGGCTTTTTGGAAAAATGCCTCTAAGAACATGGGTGTACAAATATGCTTGAATCACCACTTTCAATTATTTGGTGTATATACCCAGAAGTGAAATGGCTGGATAAATACTAATTCTTTGTTCAACTTCTTAAGAAACTGTCATACTCTTCTCCACAGTAGTTGTACCATTTTCCATTTCAACAAGCAAAATACAAGAGTTCCGATTTCTCCACATCCATGTCAACCCTGTTGTTTTCAGTGTTTTTTATAATAGCTATCCAAATAAGGGTGAGGCTGAATCTCACTGTGGTTTCCATTTGCATTCTCCTATCAATTAATAATGTAGAGCATTATTTTATGTGCTTATTGTCTACTTGTGCATCTTCTTTGGATAAATGTCTATTCATATCCTTTGTTTTTGAATGGGATTGTTTGGTTTTTGGAGCTGAGTTGCAGGAGTTCTTAATGTATTTTAGATACTAGTCCCTTTTCAGGTATGTGATTAGCAATATTTTCTCCCAAATTGTAGGTTGCCTTTTTACTCTATTAATAGTATTTTGATGCACAAAAGTTTTTAATTTTAATAAAGTCTGTGTCAATTTTTTCTTCTATTGGTTGTACCTTTTGTACCATCTCCAGGAAATAATTGCCAAATTCAGTGTCATGAATCTTTTCCCCGTATATTTTCTTCTAAGAGTTTACAATTTTTGCTCTTACTTGTAGGTTTGGTTATATTTTAAGTTAATTTCTGTTATGTACATGGCATTAGTTAAAGTTCCAACTTCATTCTTTAGCATTTGGATATCCAGTCCAAAATAAATTTCCATATACACAAGGGGGTTTTTATGGCCTCTCTATTCTAGTTTATTAGTCTATATATTTGTCTTTACACCCATAACACACAGATGTGCCTTTTTTTTATTTGTTCATTTTTACTGTAGCTTTATAGCAAATTTTGAAATCAGCTAATTTGGGTTCCTTAAGATCTCAAATACATTTTAGAATGAATTTTTCTATTTCTTGAAAAAATACCATTGCAGTTTTTATAAGGATCATGTTGAATCTGTAGATCACTTTTAGTAGTATGGACATCTTAATAATAGTAAACTTTCTGATAGATGAACATAGCATCTTTCCATTTATTTATGTATACTTTACATTGTTTTAGCAATGCTTTGTTGTTTTCAGTGTACAAGTCTTTCAACTCCTTGCTTGAGTTAAACCCTTAGTATTTGATAATTTTGATAGTATTGTTAAAAAATTATTTTCTTAATTTATTTTTTGATTATTGTTAGTGCATAGAAATGTAATGGATTTTTAAATTTTGATTTTGTATTCTGCCACTTTGCTGAATTTATTAGTTCTAATAGTTTATTGTGGAATGTTTATGGTTTTCTACGTATAAGATTACATCATCTGTGATCAGAGATAATTTTACTTATTCCTTTCAAATTTGGATGACTATTATTTCTTTTTCCTGCCTTATTATTCTGGTTAAGATTTCCAATACTATGCTGAATAGAAGTGGTAAAAGCAGACTTTTTTTCTTATTCCAGACCTTAAAGGAAAACTTCATTTTTGAGTATTTTTGAGTACAGGTTTTTCATATACTGCCTTTGTTATGATGAGGTAGTTTTCTTCTATTCCTACTTGGCTGTGTTGAGGCAGTGTTGAATTTTATATCAAAAGGTCTTGAAATTTGTCAAATGTTTTTTTCTGAATCAATTGAGATGATCAAGTTAAATTTTTTTTTCTGCTGCTCTATAAATTGTTTTTCTTACTCGAAAGTACTTCCTGGGACCTCTGTCCCAGGAAGGAATTCTAACTTCTAGGTCTGCATCTGAGGAAAGCCAATCTACAACAGAGAAAGTAGTGCACTGTACTTTCAGAGAGCCAGATTTTCTCTGGGAAAACTCCCTTTTTCTGTTTTTTAAAGCCTCCCACTGGTAAAGGCCTGCAGACACCTTTGTATTAAAAGATACCCTCTTTAAACTTGACCCTTCACAGTGCACTGTTTGTGTTGTATTGCCACAATACATAGTCCATGTGCTCTCTGGACAGGGATCACCCCACTTACCAGCTAATTACGAGATGCATTTGAGACAGTAAGAGATTAGGCCAGAGATAATCATCCAACTTTGGAGAGCAGGAAGTCTTGTCTGAGTATTACAACAAATAGAGTGTTAACTCTCAGTCTGTGTAAGTGAGTGGAAAGGTTAGGAGAATGTTCTAAGGAAAGGCAAATGTCAGTCTGAGGAACCCTAGGCAAGGAGCTATTTTGT